CTTACGAGGAAATGTTTTCCACGGCTTTACGAGGAAAACTTTCCTCGTAAATTAGCTAGGCCTTTACGAGGAAAATAGCCTTTACGATGAACGTCTTTCGACGAAACACGTTTCCTCGCTATTTCCTAGTAAAGGGCCCTTTACTAGGAAATAACGAGGAAAACCCGTCCTAGTAAAGGACGTGTTTTCTTGTAGTGTGACAAATAAAGTGAAACTGAAGGAGTATCAAACAAAAAAAAAGCGATAATCTATTCTATTAAAATATAGTCATTTTTTTATCTACTGATACAAGTTGTCATTTAAATTTGGACTATTTCTAAAGTGTTACAAGTAATACAAGTTATATAGTTGATTGAACCGCATTACTTAGATTAAACCAGCGGTTATTTATGGAATAGAGTTTGGGCTTACTGTTGTTTTTATGACATTTAATTTTTTAGTTTTTGGGCTTAGTATTAAAGAAAAACTCCAAAAAACATTAAATAAACTTTTCACCTTAATGGATCAAAAATCAATTACTATTTCCAGGCCCAAAAATATTTAATATTTTCAACAAAATAAAATATCTATTATTAATCACTTATTTAAATCATATACTTTAGAACATGTTAATATTTTTTATTTTAAATAGCAATCCCTCTATCTTGATAAATTTTCATGGTAACTTTTAAATAATTTCTTGTTTTATTTTTGTTAAATAATTTACAGATTTAAAAAAAAAATGTAAAGTAAAACGAAAAACCAAATCTAAAAACTAAAATCCAAAACCAAAAGTTGAAAACGCAGGTTATAATTTTTATTTACAAAATAAACTATTTCAAAATTTTTAGAAAATTATTTTGTCATCTTTTTTAGTTTAAAATTACATGTTCGATTAATTGAGATTTGTTTGTTGGTAATATCAGTTCAAACTAACTCAGCGGGTACAAAAATTAAAAACTCAAACCAAAAGCTGAAAATAAAAAATGGAAACTTAAAAAATAAAAACCAAAATTTAAAACAAAATCTAAAAATAAAAACTAAAACTAAAAACTAAAAACTAATGAAAAACAACTATTACCACAAATTTTGGGAAACTAATTTTATACCAAAACATTTTTAAATTAAAACAAATCTCAATTATATAAATTTTTAGTCATAAAATTTTTCCGAAGCGCGAATCAAAATCTAGTCTTCAATTAAATAATCCTACATGGATTTAAAAAATTAGTACAAACTAAACGCACTTCTTTTACCCAAAAATTTAAACTAAACGCACTTCAAATATCACAACTTTTCAGCTTAACTTTAATATTTAGTTGGTTAAATATTTTGAAATATTTAAATAGAGAAAGAGGCAATGAAAAGGTATTAAATTGGCTCTCATTTCATGCTCTAACGTTACCTCGTGGGTCGGCTAAGATCTTTTCTCCAGAGATTCTCTAGAAATCTCTCTTCCCCCCATAAAGAATCTCTCACTAAAAATCCAAATCCCCAGTTTTGTCTCAAATCCAAATTTGAAACTGCTGTCCGAAAGTCAGACACCAGGAGCCATCCACATTTTTTTTCCTCTGTGAGTGACACAAATCAGCTCCAAAGTTTTCATTTTTAGTTAATGGGTGTCTCCCTTTTACACCAATCTGGTTCCCTCTTATGTGTTTAAGTGTAAAATGTGAACTGTTCTCTTGAGTAAAAATCTAGTCTTTTGATGTGTGTATTGGTCTGTTCCATTTTGTGTTCTGTTTCCTCAATTCAAGTATGCTCTTTTTCTTTTTGTGCAGATTATTCATGACGGGTCAAGACATCAATCAAATCGAGTTTCATCAGCAGAGACACGGTCTTTTAAAGGATCAAGTCCAGTTAGTTAAAAGAAGAGACTCTGTTCGGTACGAGATAGTTCCTATTAAAGATCGGTTATCATTTGAGAAGGGCTTCTTCGCTGTTATCCGTGCGTGCCAGTTGCTTTCTCAGAAGAATGATGGGATTGTACTGGTTGGTGTCGCTGGTCCATCTGGTGCTGGAAAGACAGTATTCACCGAGAAAATACTCAACTTTTTGCCTAGTGTTGCTGTCATTTCGATGGATAATTATAATGACGCTAGTAGAATTGTTGATGGGAACTTTGACGGTAAAAAAAGTCTTAATAGGTGGAACCAAGTCCTTTATATCTATTGAGCTGTAACAGTTTTTTTCTTTATGTAGATCCACGGTTAACAGATTATGACACATTGCTCAAGAACCTTGAAGATTTGAAGCAAGGGAAACAAGTTGAGGTTCCTGTATATGATTTTAAGTCCAGTTCTCGTGTTGGATACAGGTAAACATACAAACCAGCATGGTTATATTCTTTGTGGTTATTCTACTGAAGACATTGTTTTTTTAAATTTTGTTAGGACAGTTGATGTTCCAGCTTCCAGGATTGTGATTATTGAAGGAATCTATGCTTTGAGTGAAAAACTGAGACCTTTGTTGGATCTTCGTGTGTCTGTTACTGGTGGAGTTCACTTTGATCTTGTTAAACGTGTTCTTCGTGATGTACAACGTGCAGGGCAACAGCCGGAGGAGATAATCCATCAGATATCTGAGACGGTTTGTTCTTTATTTCTTTTTTATTTTGCTTCTTGGCTGTTATTGGTTGAGTAGAGTTTTTTTTAAGTAACAAATTGCACTGTTTATGTAGGTGTATCCTATGTACAAAGCTTTCATAGAGCCGGATCTCCAGACTGCTCAAATTAAAATCATTAATAAATTCAACCCTTTCACTGGCTTTCAGAGCCCAACATACATCTTGAAGGTTTGGGAAAAATGACTTTATTTTCCTGTAGTCTTGTATGTGTTTGATAAACTAAGTTCTTTTGCTGTTGATTTTGTTGTAGTCAAGAAAGGATGTATCCGTTGATCAGATCAAGGAGGTTCTTTCTGAGGGACATACAGAGACTAAGGAGGAGACTTATGATATATATCTTCTTCCTCCAGGTGAAGATCCAGAGTCGTGCCAATCATATTTGAGAATGAGGAATAAAGATGGAAAGTACAGCCTCATGTTTGAGGTTTGGTCCTTCAGAGTTTTCTTTTCATTGTTTTCTGACAAGCTGACAACCTTCTGATTTGTTAATGTTAAGATGCTTAAAATGATGTGATAAAGACTTATGGTTATTGTTTCGATATGCAGGAATGGGTTACGGATACTCCTTTTGTGATATCCCCAAGGATTACTTTTGAAGTTAGCGTTCGTTTACTTGGTGGGCTTATGGCATTGGGATACACAATAGCTACCATACTTAAAAGGAATAGTCATGTATTTGCTACTGATGAGGTGATTGTGAAAATCGATTGGCTTGAGCAGTTGAATCGTCACTACATGCAGGTTTGTCTGTCTATCTAAGCTCATACATCACAATTTTGATTGAAACTTGGTAAAATCTTGGCATGATAAACTGTAGAAGAAATTTGTGTAATGGCATTCTTGTTCCCATTAGTATTAAACTTGTCCATCACCAGAAAATAATATGACTATTGGATAATAGAAATCTGAACTTGTTATTATCAGGTGCAAGGTAAAGATAGACAACTTGTACAGAGTACTGCAGAGCAGCTAGGATTGAAAGGATCGTTCATTCCACGCACCTACATTGAACAGATCCAACTTGAAAAACTGATAAATGAAGTAATGGTATGATTTGCTGTTTTGGGCTATGATCATTTTTATTGCATCTCATTTGGGTTCCTGATTAAGAGTCTCATCTCATTACAGGCACTACCAGATGATTTGAAGAACAAGCTTAGCTTAGATGAGGATTTGGTGTCTACTTCAAGCCCAAAGGAAGCACTGTTACGAGCGTCTGCAGATAGAGTAGCCATGAGAAATAAGAACCTAAGGTACACTTGTGTCAAGGAGTCTATGAGAAAGCTTTGTTACTTCCAAATCCATGTGTCCTTAAGTGGTTAAGCCATTTATGATACAACAGAGGCATGTCACAGTCATATTCAACCCAAAGAGATAAGAATCTGTCCAAGCTTGCTGATTATTCTTCAAGCAATACAAGGTATGAAGAAAGAAACCACGACTCAGCAGCCAACGAGGTTCAAATTTTTTTTCCGTTCAATCCCCTCGTGGCAACTTTGAAGTCTTTTTTCTATGTTAACAGTGCAATTGTAATGGTTTTTTGATCTATCTTTAGGGGTTTATGACTCAGCTTTCAGAGCAAATATCATCCCTCAATGAGAGAATGGATGAGCTGACAAACCGGATCGAAGAGCTAAATTCAAAGTTGAGCTGTAACAAGAACACTCCATCACAGCAGAGCATGACACTCCAAGCAGAAGTCTGCAATGGCTCAGCTCCAACTTCGTATTTCATTTCTGGTCTGGACAATGGCTGTTTGACAAATTCCCTAATGCCACATTCATCGTCATCTTCCCAGTTAGCCAAGGATTCACCATTAATGGAAGAGGCAAGTCTTGTTTATAAAATTTGTATTGTATTACATTGCTTTGAAACGCTGAGTTGCTGTTTCTGGTGCAAGCAGATATCGACCTTCTCACGTGGACAGCGTCAAGTGATGCATCAGTTGGATAATCTGTGCAGCTTGATGAGAGAAAGAGAAAGGTCACGCCTAGCAAGAACAGGAAGTAGCAGAGGCAGATCAAGCAAAAGCTTCTTCTTATCCAATGTGGAATCTAGTAGCCTCCCTCTCGTGCTAACCTTGGCTCTTTGCAGCGTGGGGGTTGTAGTGATCAAGAGTTACATTAACAAGCAACAATAACATCAAATAACCATTGTGGATTGGTTATTTTTCTCACTGGAGGCGTTTTGTGAGAGCTTCCATGGGGTTTCTCTACGTGGACGATGAGACATTCTCGAGTAGTTTTATATTTAATATGATTCAGTCATTTTGCTCTTCTCTATGTTTTCATACTCAAAGACAAGGGCTAGTTCTGTTTGGTTTCTTGGTGTGTCTCACATGAAAATCACAGTACTGATCAGATTATAAACAAATTTTTGTTTTGGGTTTGGATTTGTATGTCAGCCCTACATAAGTTTTACAAATATGCTACCACCAGAATTGCTCTACATAAAAAATCTATCACCAGCTCTGTTTTTCATTTCTGTGTGGAGCTGAAAAAGGAGAGGAAGAGATCCTGTGAATACCATCATATTGCTTTGTCTAACCAAGCCGGTAACCTCAAGGAAGATTTCATCCCAAGTCTTGTGAGGAAGATTGAGTAGAGGATATGCAGTAACAACACAAAGAAGCCACTGTTTAGCAACAGCTGTTGACAATCAAAGGTAAGTTTCTCAGCTTCTTCTATCTCCCGAGGTTAATATAGAGAGAGAAGAGTAGTGATAAAGAGATTGCGTACCACTGTTCCAAATATCATATAAATGAGGCTCATTGAAGGCATTAGGTTGAGTCCCATGGCGGTGAAAACATAAGAGAGAGAAGCATGGATGTTAATTGTGATCTGCAAGAACATGAGTTTTATTTATGCAACACTGTTTCTAAAGGGTCAAAAAAAGTGATAAGTTTTTTTAAAGGAAAGATGCTTACCACAGCAAGAATATTTTCTCTTATTAAGAAGGATGATGTCAGAACATATCCTATGAGACCCAATGCTCGGACCTGCATAAGAAGAAAATCAGTGTCAGTGTAAACAAGAAGAGATAAATGTTAACATAAGCAGAAATTTCACCATTGTGCACAAGAAAATGGAGAGACGCCAGCTTGCCTTCATCCTGAGAACAGAATAACATTGTGAAAAAAAATAAGTAACCGAGCCAGTGTTCAGCTGAAGTAACCTACTTCCAAAACTTTAGTCATTTTCCTCAAGAGTAAAGACATGAAACTGTAAGATGTAGAGAACTAAAAAACTGTGCAGGATAGAGACACGAGTATATGAATGAATTCACATACCTCCACAAGGAACCAATTGCAAGCCCCAGAAGGCCATGCATAAGCTACAAGAGAAACCCCAACAAAAAAGCTTATGCCATTGTTGTGAAAGAGAAATCATAAAGAAACAAAAAACACACATAACAGACTAAAGCTAGCAAAGAGAGAAGGAGGGCTTACAAAGTAAGTCAATGCTTTGACCGGACCTGATAATATGAACAACAACATGACAGTAGCAACCTGATAAACAAACACCACAAAGACTTAAACCACATGGTGCCAACAAAACTTTCATTCATGTGAAAAAGGAATGTTCTTTACATTACCATTGTCTTCCTACCACCAGAAATGTTCCATCTTATCGAAGATATCACTATTGGCAACGCAAAGAAACACCCAAAGTAGTTCTGCGTTTCAAAAAAAGTGTAACCTTTATTCATCCAAACCAAAAGTCATCATTTTTTCTATACAAAAGAGACTAACTTTCTTGATCAAATGAACAAAACAAGCAAATGGGTGTAAAACAGAACCTCAATAGCGAGAGAGTTGCTGAGAAAGTAAACAAGCCCCGTGACGGCAGCGAACATGGCGCATTCCACCAGTCTCAGCGTCTTCTGATAAACCAATTCATCTTCTTCTTCCTTCTTCGCATCCTCTTGGTTACCTGAAAACGAAGTTTTGGTGGTGGAGATGCTCGAGAGTGCGAAGGAGGTTCGGTTGGAGGTGGAAAGGAGAGAGATTCTGGGTCTTTGTGGAGAGAGTGAAAGTAGAGAAGAGGAGGAAGAGGAAGCGAAGGAGGAGCGTGTAGTGGTGAGACGGTGAAATTGAGTGAGAGTGGAGTGGTGATGAATCGTTTTGAGGAGATTCATGGAGGAAGCAAATGAGAGATTGTTTTTGTTTTCCCAACGCTTTCTTTCTTCTCCGTCTATTTGAGATAAACTGTTGGTAGCAGCAGCAGTGAGTATTTATTTTAACCGAAATCAAAAAAACCAAACCGGGAAACCGAAACTAAAACCGGTTCACAAATTTCAAACGGTTCGGATTTCTATCTATCAGAAAAACAAACTAAAATTAAATAATTAAAAACAAATGAATATTAAAACCATAATATTTTTAATTTTAAAATAGCTAAATATTCTAAAAAAATTTATCATAGATTTAACAACTATTCAACAGAATAGAATATTTTAATGTTTTAGACTAAAAATTAAATTATCTAACTATTTTTATTTTTATTTTAAAAAAATCTGAACTATCCGACTAAAATTTCTAAAATGTGTTAGCTGAACCAACAGAAAACAACCAAATCTAGATTGAGAAATTTATTTTAAATTTTTTGTTATTCGAACTGCGGATATTTTCACTCCTTTAACACATTTATCTTTTATCTAGTTGTAGTATTTTTTTTTTTTTATCGTTTTCACTGGGTCAATCCGTTCTAACTCTCACACTCTTATATCTGATCATGATGATGACATTGTATCCCAGTTTGCAATAATACACGTTGATTCTTTTGTCATTCTTTGGTTTGTGTAGTTGTAGAACAATGAAGAAACAAGTCTGTATTTTACTTTAGTTCTGTATTGGTCTTCTCTTTTCTTATGTAAATAAAATGTTAGTTTACCTTTTTTTATCTTGGGTCATGCGTTAGTAAGTTGGGTTTGGTGGACAAGGCCCATTCGTTATACTATATATGAGATATTTTATTTTTTTGGTGGCCAAAAGTTTCGTTTGTTTTAGGTCAAAAGAGCTTCTTTGTCTTGTCTCCGACAGCTTCAGCAACAATGGTACGTACAACACACACAAAAATATTGGTCGTTAACTGGTCAGAAACAAGAATCTAATTTTTTTATATTGTCTTATGAATATGGCAGTGCGAAATCATTGATGAGAGGAAGAAGAAGAAGGATGAAAAGGTTTGCCCTTTTGTGTGTTTCTTCTATAAATTAGAATTTAGCGTAGTTTATGTTGCTCTTGTAGAGCTTGAGTAGGAGAAGATTGATCCTTTAGAAAGAAAGTGATGCACTTGGCGCTGTTTCTTTGATGTACACTAAACCCGAAGGAACCAACTTTTCTAATTACAGGCTAGAGAAAAGGAGTTGAGAAAGGTTAAAGCTTTGGAGAAAGAAAAGGAGCGGGCAGCACTCAAGGTAACATGTCTCTCTTTTTTATTATGTGTGAATAAAAAAACTCTAAGATCTTTTTTTTTTGTTCTTCTTTCATATGGTGGTATAGGCACAACAGGAGAAAGATGAAGCCAATGCTGAAGAACTCAAGGTAACTTGTGTCTCTCTTGAGTAATTATGCGTGAACAAAAAAAACTCTTAAGATCTTTTCTTCTTCACATGTTGGTATAGGCACAGCAGGAGAAAGATGGAAGCAGTGGCAGCCAAAAGAAGAAGAGTCACAAACGAGATGATGCATCAGAAGAGAATCCTGAGGAATTTGTAGACCCTGAAACTCCTCTTGGTGAGAGGAAAAGGCTCTCCTCACAGATGGCTAAACAGTACAGTCCTGCTGCAGTAGAGAAATCGTATGTTTGTTGTTGTAGAGATTTTATTTATTTATTAATTTACATCCCACCAATTTTTGTTCTTACATCATCTCTCTGTTTTTCTTTTATTTTTCTCAGATGGTATACTTGGTGGGAGAAGTCTGACTTCTTTAAGGCTGATGCTAAGAGTTCCAAGCCACCCTTTGCCATTGTATAGCGCATTGTTTCAACCCTGAATAATATTTACTTTCTTTTATGTGGAGGGGAGTTTCTTGAACCTTATGGTATTGGTTCTTCTGCAGGTTCTTCCACCACCAAATGTGACTGGAGTCTTGCATATTGGCCACGCCCTAACAGTTGCTATTGAGGTTTCCTTTTTAACACTTTGTGCCTCTCTCTATTGTTCTCTTGTGATATACTCACACGTCTTGAAATTTTGCTGATGCAGGATACCATTATTCGTTGGAAGAGAATGTCTGGGTATAATGCTCTGTGGGTGCCTGGGATGGACCATGCTGGTATAGCTACACAGGTTAAAAAAAACAACAACATCCTTGTTCAAAGCTTCTTTTGCCCTAGTTGTAGAATTTTTGTTTTTAAAATTATGTTTTCTTCTCTTTTTTCTTTTGCACATGATTCTTTTAGACTGTGGTGGAGAAAAAACTTTTCCGTGAAAAAGGGTTGACTAGGCAGGACCATACCCGTGAAGAATTTGTGAATGAAGTAAGTTGAAAACAATACGCTCTTGAAATCATTTTTTCATTGTTTGACAAAATTCGTTGTGTATGATCATGGAAAAAAAAGGTGTGGAAGTGGAAGGACGAAAAGTCGTGCACGATTCTTACACAACTACGACGTCTAGGAGCTTCTCTTGATTGGTCTCGTGAGGTAAGGCTCTGGCCTTTGTTTTGACTAATGTCTTAATTTTAATTTCATCTGTCGACCCCTCTGGTCTAATGAATGTGTGTTTTGTCCATTTTGTAGTGTTTTACAATGGACGAGCAAAGATCAAAGGCTGTCACTGAGACCTTTGTACGGTTATTCAAGGAAGGGCTTATCTATAGAGATATTCGGCTTGTTCATTGGGATTGTCATTTGAAAACAGCAGTGTCTGACGACGAGGTTGAGTATATGGATATCAAAGAAACGAGGCGACTAGATGTACCTGGGTATGAGAAGCAAGTAGAATTTGGTCTTCTTACTTCATTTGCTTACCCTCTGGAGGGAGGTTTGGGGGAGGAGGTTGTGGTTGCCACTACAAGGGTGGAAACAATGCTTGGGGATACTGCCATTGCGGTTCATCCAGATGATGCAAGATACAAGCATCTTCATGGGAAATTTGCTGTGCACCCATTTAATGGACGCAGGTTACCAATTATCTGTGATGGAACGCTTGTTGATCCAGAGTTTGGTACCGGTTGTGTTAAGGTATATGTATTTGGATGCTAATGTTTCTGGTTGGAATCTAAACAATAATGTGTTTCTTTTTTTTGTGTGGTAAAGATTACTCCTGCCCATGACCCTAATGATTGTGAGTTGGGGAAGCGTCACAACCTTGAATTTATTAACATATTCACTGATGATGGAAAGATCAACACAAATGGAGGGGCTGAGTTCACAGGGATGCCACGCTTTGAAGCACGTGAGGCACTTGTTGAAGCTTTGAAGAAGCAGGTAACTGTGTTGAGATTTTTTTTGATAAATTAAGATAACTGCGTAGATCCATTCATTACCTTAAAAACAACTCTTGTGTGTATATTCCATTCCAGGGGCTTTACAGAGGTGTCGAAAGCAAGGAAATGAGGCTTGGTCTTTGCCAAAGAACACGTGATGTTATTGAGCCTATGATTAGGCCTCAGTGGTACCTCAACTGCACCATCATGGCAAAGGAGGCTCTCAATGTTGCTGAAAGCAAAAAGCTCGAATTTATACCAAAGCAGTACACTGCCGAGTGGGCAAGGTTTGTTTCATTTCTTTTTTGGTCAATTATTAACAATCACAAGAATGGGGATTGACTTGACACAACAAACAAACAGATGGCTAGGAAACATTCGTGACTGGTGTATATCAAGACAGCTTTGGTGGGGCCACAGATTACCAGCATGGTACGCTTGTCTAGAGGAAGATGAGCGGAGGGAGTTTGGCGCGTACAATGACCACTGGATCGTTGCTAGAACCGAGGAAGAAGCACGAAAAGAGGCTGCTGAAAAATTTGGTGGCAAGTTTGAGCTAACACAAGATGAAGATGTGCTTGACACGTGGTTTTCTTCTGGGATATTTCCTTTATCTTCTCTGGGATGGCCTGATGAAGAAACTGACGACTTGAAAGCCTTTTATCCAACCTCTCTCATAGAAACTGGACATGATATCCTCTTTTTTTGGGTTGCTCGTATGGTTATGATGGGGATGAAACTAAGCAACGAGGTTCCCTTCAGCAAGGTTTATTTGCATCCTATGATACGTGACGCACATGGTCGCAAGATGTCGAAATCTCGTGGAAATGTGATTGACCCCATTGAAGTAATCGAGGGGGCAACTCTCGATGCACTTCGTGAAAGATTAGAAGAGGGTAACTTGGATAAAAAAGAGGTGGAAACTGCCAAAGAAGAAAAGCGTCTGGACTTTCCAGACGGTATCCCTGAGTGTGGTGTTGATGCTCTTCGGTTTGCACTCGTCTCTTACACTGCTCAGGTCTTAATATTATTGCTCTTCTTTTCTTTTTTTAATTTCTACTAATTTTGTTAGTTGTAAACAAAGAATGTTTGTTTTTTTGTTTTGTTTTGTAGTCTGAAAAAATAAACTTGGACATAAAACGTGTGGTTGGATACCGGCAGTGGTGTAACAAGCTGTGGAATGCTGTGAGGTTTGCGTTGATAAGACTTGGCGATGGTTACGCCCCTCCTCCTCCTACGACGATGATGATTCTAAGCCTTGAAACGATGCCGTTGAGCTGCCAATGGATTCTCTCTGTACTAAATAAGGCAATATCGAAGACGGTGGAGTCACTGAATGCATTTGACTTGTCGGAAGCAGCCAACACAGTGTATGCGTGGTGGCAATATCAGTTTTGTGATGTCTTCATTGAAGCTATCAAGCCATATTTTGCTAATGCGCCGTTGGCTGCTTCAGAGAGGGCTCATGCACAAGATGTGCTGTGGATATCTCTGGAGACGGGTTTGAGGTTGCTTCACCCGTTCATGCCTTTTGTTACTGAAGAGCTATGGCAACGGCTGCCTTCACATAAGGACTGTGAAAGAAAGGCATCTATCATGATATGTGACTACCCATCTAATGTAGAGGTGTGTGAGTGAGGTATTTTGCTCTGCTTAGTAAATATCATAGTTTGGTTCTAATCTCTTCTTTGTTAACTCACAGAATTGGAGAAATGATAAAGTGGAGAAGGAAATGGAAACCGTTCTAGCGACCATCAAGTGCATTAGAGCACTCAGGGCTGAGTTGCTGGAGAAACATAAAAATGAAAGGTCTGATTATCTTTTTTTTTTTTTTGTAAAAGGAACACTTTGAGACTCTTTTTATCTATTTAAAAAAAAAAATTGCATTTTTGTCTGTCAGGTTACCTGCGTTTGCTGTGTGTGAAAACAAGGTAACATCCGAAATTGTAAAATCTCACGAGTTGGAGATTAGAACCCTTGCAAATCTATCGTCCTTAGAGGTAAGTAATTAAAAACAAGGATCCCACCTTTGTTGTTTCTCTCTCTCAGTGTTTGTTTCCTTTTTCTGAGTGGGCTTCTTTGCTATAGGTTGTGCTAAAGGGAGAACACGCAGCAGCAGCCTCAGCTGGATCTGCCGTTGAGACGGTGAACGAGAACCTCAAGGTCTATCTCAAAGTGGACAGAGCCATTAACACTGAAGCTGAGCAAGAAAAGTTGAGAAACAAGATTGCAGAACTTGAAAAGTAAAATCCCCCGCCTCCCTTAATCTTTCAGAACAAATAAATAATGTCTGAAACGTAAGTAACAAGCTTGAGTTTCTTTCTTGTTTCGTTTTTTTAGACAAAAGAACAAGTTGGAGAGGATGATGAGTGCGTCTGGGTACCAAGACAAGGTGCCTGCGCACATTAAAGAAGACAACGCCACAAAGCTTGCCAAGATTCTCCAAGAACTCGATTTCTTTGCCAAGGAATGTTCTCCTGATCAGACTGGAAACACCACCACTGTAAATGAGATTGTTTTGAGGAGATTCATGGAGGAGGAGGAGGAGGAGGCGAAGAAGAAGAAGTAAATGAGATTGTTTTGTTTTCCCAACGGTGACTGAGAGCTTTCTCTCTTCTCCGTTTATTTGAGATAAACTGTTGGTAGCAGCAGCACTGAGTATTTTTAACCGAAACCCACAAAACCAAACCGGAAAACTGAAATTGAAACCGGTTCAGAAATATTCGATTAGTTTCTATTTCTTTCCGAACAAAATAAAATTAAACCGAATAACTATATAAAACATTTAAATATCAATTTTTATTAATATTATTGATAAATTTGATTATTCCAGAAAAAAACTGAGTCATTCTATTGTTTTAATTTAATAAAAGCTAAGATGTCTAAATTATCTATATTTTTATCTAAAAATCTGTAACTATTCGACGAATTAAAATTTGATTGGACCTATTTTTTTCTACTTGGTTTTCGATTTTGTTATCCAAATGGACCAAACAAAACTGAAAACCGAAATATCTGAACTGAACCAAACCAAACCGAATCGAAAAACTTTTTTTTTGGTTCATCAGGAAAAGAACCAAGATCCAACGCCTGAGGCCAACTGTTCTAACTGAATGCCTTAACCAGCACATTACCAAAAAGGAGAAAGCAAAGAGACAAAACCATTCTTCATTCTGTCCTAAGATTCTGTCGCATCATCAATGGCCGTGATCAGTCCAGCTACACGTCTCGCTCCGCCGCTAAACCGTCCTTTCAACCACCGATCTTCACTCTCTTCCGCCTCCAAGAAACTCCTCTTCCTCAGAAACCCCACGCTGACTTCCCCCATCGTCTCCGTCCGGTGCCAGAAACCTTTCTCCACGAATCATCATCAGGCCTCTTCTGTTTCATCTTCCATCGATTTCCTAACCTTGTGCCATCGGCTCAAGGTATGTGCAGAGCAGAATCCATATAGATCATCATCGATTCCAAAAAATCCAAAGTTAGGATCTTTTGATTTGAGTAGTGAGTGACTTGTTGTTGTTGTTGTTGTGTTAGACAACGAAGAGAAAAGGATGGATCAATCAGGGGATTAATGGAGCTGAATCAATTGCTGATCATATGTACCGTATGTCTCTTATGGCTCTCATTGCTGCTGATCTTAACGGTGTTGACAGAGAAAGGTTGGTCTTTGCCTTTAGATGACATAGGAAGGCTACTGTATAGATTATGGTGTATACATATGGTTTGTAATAAATAGAGCTCAGTGAGGTCTGATATATGTACGGTTAACTTCTGAAAGTGTTTGGGTTTGATCAGTGTGTGGCGGCTATCTAAGGAGAAACCGAGAAATTAGTTGATGGGGATTGTAGTGACTGGGACTTATATTGTAGACTTTATCTGCTCGAAAGTGGCATATTCGTGGAACTCATAGTGTAGTGAAAATGTCTGAGAGTTAAGTGAAAAAGCTAGTGTTCTGAAGTTAAAGGGTTCTTTTTTTTTTTTGCTCTAAACGCCAGTTATAGTCCTCTGTGTGCCTCAATATTTAGCTATGCTTATAAGTGTTTGTTATCTAAATCACACATATTTAGAAAGTTGAAAGAAGGATAAGGTAGGAAGAAGGCACTTGGGTTGTTAAACTATTGACAAATATATTCCCCTGTTTTATGGCCATAGCTAAGTGGATCTTTCTCCATGTTCTTTCATTCTCTTGGTGTCTTAAACAGGTGTATCAAAATGGCTATTGTGCATGACATCGCTGAAGGTAAAATACATATTCAGTTTTCTTTTTCCTTATTGATCTCTTCTCGTAGTTAGTTAAATTTCTAAAAACTACATGGTGGTTTGGATCAAATACCTTAGTATGGTAGGGTATATAACAGATGTATTCGGATTCGTTTGAGAAATTTTCATATTCTATGGAGACGGAACTAAACATGTGTTAAAATCTGATCACATTTGGTTTCTTTCTCTCTATTCATACTCTTCTTCTGGAACTTAATTCCTATAAATCGACAAAGCGTCACCTCTTTCTGGTCTTTTAAACAGCTATTGTTGGAGATATTACCCCATCTGATGGTGTGCCCAAGGAAGAAAAGAGTAGGAGGGAGAAAGCAGCTTTGAAGGAAATGTGCAAAGTTCTGGGTGGAGGCCTGAGAGGTATATATACGCCTCTGCTCTTGTCGACTACTAATGTTTTTGGTTTCAAAAACACTAATTCATAAGTAAAATGTTAAACATGCAGCTGAGGAGATCACCGAACTTTGGCTGGAGTATGAGAACAATGCTTCTTTGGAGGCAAATCTTGTAAAAGACTTTGATAAGGTAATTATTTTGCAACCATTAATAGTTTAAACTTACACAAAACATATATATTACACTGACTCTTGTTCTTATTGCGGTTCTAAGGTTGAGATGATTCTCCAGGCACTAGAATATGAATCAGGTTAGCCTCAGTCTTTTATCTTTCTAATTACTTGTGCTTGTTATCCCTCTTACATCCCAAGAAATCTGAGTCAACGTTTGGACATTGTGGCAGAACATGGGAAAGTGCTCGACGAGTTTTTCATATCAACAGAAGGTTTATACCCCATCTCATACTCTCTTATCGCTTTATAGTCTTAGATGTAAAGTCAGAATCACTTGGTGCCTATGTCAAATGCAGGCAAGTTTCAAACCGAAATCGGAAAGAGCTGGGCTGCTGAGATCAACGCCAGGAGAAGAACCCAATTGACAAACAGACAGAGATAGCAATCCAGTTAACATTATAGATTCCATCTCCCGCAACTATCAACACTAGGAATCTTCAGAGCAAACTTCAAAACTAAAGCAGGTTGCCTCTTGAACCAATAGGTGCAAGCTTTCTGGTGAATTTTTCAATTTTGTTGTGCAACGAACACAAAATTTTGACTTCCCTTTCAGTTGCTAGTTAAGTAACTTTTTAAGACCTGGTAAAATATGAATCTAAAAAGTCAGATATACTTGTTGCTGAGAGAAGTGGATCAGAGTTTATTTTATTGAACTTTTTGTTTGAGGTTCCTTATCTCATTCTGATGTCACAACCTGATAGAATCAGATTTTTTTTTCTCATGATGTTTAGAACGTCAAATGCAATACTCTGGTTCGTCTAGTCCCCGAAACAACGAAATAACATATGAGAATAGGACGCGTAAAATACTATGTCGGGGCGTAGAAGAGTTTTCATTTTCTTACATGAGAAGTCACTTCTGCATCTATATTTACTTTGGTGATGTAACTGCTTGTTATCATGTCATCTCAATGTTATGCTAATTATAAGTCAAACAATCTTCTTTATGTCACCAAACTTTTCATTGACATCTGGTCAATTGACTAAATTTGCCAAATATAAGATGAGAATAGACCTATTTGTCCTTTGTATGAACCAACCTTCATGTTGTTGAATAGTATCAGAGGGAACAAGATTTTAAGCAGCTACAGTTCTTTTGACGTCAAGATTCCTAAATATGCCGGTAGATATGTCTCAATCCTCACGTGGTGTATACACTTAACATTATATATATTATCTTTTGTAATCCTTGAAGTTTTGTAAATATCACAGAGTGATGGAAGAAGATTGTGGTGCTTTTGTAGCAGACTGTGTTGTCCTGACATGTTGCTGCCAATGTCTTGTGTTACAAGTCACTGGGTTTGTCTTCTTCAAGATTCCTCTGAAACTTGTTAAGAAGGTGAAGAAGTTAGTGAAGAGAAGATGTGGAAAGACCTTGCAACCAAGGATGGAGGAAGATGTTGTCAAAGAAGAGCACTGGTGTGGAAATGGGTTTGAATTTGAAGAAGGCTCATCAAGATTTAATTGCATTGAAGACATTGAGGAAATGTTGCAAGAACTGTCTATGAACAAAGAGTTTGTGTTTGGAAGCTACTGGCGCCATGAAGATACTTGACATTCTAGATGTCAAATAGCAGCAGAAAAAAAAACAGAGATCAGTGATCTCATCTTTTTTGTTTAAATTCATGTTATAGTGTTATTGATAACGAATAAAGAAGCTTAAGGAGACGGATTCAAACATCTATCTTGAAAGACAAGAAGAAGTGATAGGTAGCTAAGACAAGGCTGTAATATTGTAGATCTTTCCTTACTCGTGTACAATCTTCCACTTTTTTCCAATATAATAAGAAGAAGTCATATCATTTGTCACTTGTCAATGCTCTTGCAGATGGATCTCATGACAGATTCATCTGCACTGATCCGCAGCCTAATAGTCTATGAGACATTGTGAAAGAAAAAAAAAGCATCTGAATGGCAAAGAAGACATTAGTAAGGCATCACTGTAGATAGCACACAAGGCCCGCCCATGGACTATGCTGAATGAAACATTTGCAATAGGTCCCAAAATTTTTATAAAAAAACTACAAAAACAAAAGCTCCAAGAAAAAATATTCATACTCCAAATTTGTTTAAAAAATTTTTAGTTAAAATGTATAAAAAAATTCGTATAAAATCTGAAGGTCGTTCTCAAAATCTGAAGGCGGGCTCTGATAGCACCATCAAGAGATAATGATCGAGTAAGAAGACACATGTGCAAGATTTTCAAGAAAGACTCAAATAATCAAATTACTCGTAAGTAGTCACCTTAAGTTTTTTGGGATCAGACAACTTAGTCTCGGTTATGCGAGCCGTGAAAGGTGTTTTACGAGACTCGTATAGCAGTCGATCAATTTCGGGTGATGCACTGGTAGCGTGGTGAATTTGAGATTTCATCGCTTTTATCTCTGCAACAGTTTTCCAGATGTAATCACGGAAATCAAGAATCTCAATTAGCCCTCAACAGCTTTCCGACTTCGTCATCGTTTGCTGCGAATGATCTGATATTTCTCCTTAGCTATCTTCGTATGTTCCATGTAGTAGATGTCTTCTTCGTCCTCGGTGAGAAGGTTTTTAGAAAAAGATTCGTACTGAATATTACGATATTTCTTTTTTTTTGGATGGACGTCAGTGTTTTCTTTCGATGGATTTGAATGGTCGTTTGTTTCCAGATTAACCCGCTCGACACCATCATCTTCAGCCTCCTGTTCACAAGAAAGAGAGTTTTCCGAATCTTTTTGTGTCGTATCAGGGTTGTTGTTTTCGGAAGCTTGCCTCGGTAAACCTCCCTGCGCGGTTCTGGTCTGCTCTACAATCAGTATGAGTTAACCTCCCCGGAATATCATCACGTTACATGCATAAAGGCAGAAGCACACTACAAAAGTATGAATGGTCTGCTCTACAATCAGTATGATCTCATATATAAGAATAAAATAATCAAAGTCACGTTGGACCATTTTCTGAATCAGCACAACTAGCAAAACATAAATGTCAGATAACCGTCTGGTTCGTTTACGGTTTTAACTTTCCTTCCCACATCTCTCACTCACTTCACTTGATTCTCCAGACAGAACTAACAGTTTCCGATCTTTCCGAAACCCTAAAATTAGCCAAAAACGGAGAAATCGGATAACAAAGAGGAGAATATGCAATCGCAGATTCTCCTCCCATTCTCATACTTTCCCCCTAAATCACCACTCTCTAAGCAAACCATGTACAAGCCTCTGATCTACGATGATGATCCCTCAACCACCACCACCACCACAATCAAGCCTCTCCTCTCCCGCGCCTCCAGCTTCAACGGCGCTCTCACCACCACGAACGGTCCCTTAACTTCTTGGTTTCACAACAAACGGCGACGCTCCAACAGCGATAACTGCCTCCTCTCTGCGTTACCCGATGGTACTAATGGAACCGAGGGCCAACAAACTATCGCTCAGGAGGTTACACACGTGGCCGCTGAGACGTTTTTGTTGACTCGGCTTTGCTTGAAGCTTTTGAGCTATCTTGGGTATCCATTACGAGGAAAAAAGAAATGATTTTTTTGTTGTTGTTGTTGGGTTTGATGATTGATTACTGATGGAAAACTATTGTTCAGGGTAGGTTATAGATGGATCACAAGGTTTCTTGCTCTTGGTTGCTATGCTTTCTTACTAATGCCAGGCTTTGTTCAAGGTTTTCTTGTGGACTTGTTACTTGTCTTTGTTGAGTTTCTATATAAGTTTGGTTGCTAAAAGGTTGGGGGTTTACGTTGCAGTGGGGTATTATTACTTCTTCTCTCCTTACGTTCGTAGAAGTATAGTTTACGGTGATCAACCAAGAAACAGGTCATACTCCTTTACTGCTTATCATTTCCATCTGCTTTGGAGACTAGTGGATGCTATTTATTTGGGTTTTATGGTTTCTTTCAGGCTTGACTTGTATCTACCTAGGAACTCCGATGGTCCAAAACCAGTTGTGGCGTTTGTCACTGGTGGAGCCTGGATTATTGGGTGGGTTATTGACATTATTTTCATGCTATAGCGTTGAGGAAGAACTGCTATTGTTTTACAGAATGTCTTGTGTTGTGTTTGATACAGTTATAAGGCGTGGGGCTCTCTTTTAGGACAGCAGTTATCAGAAAGAGATATTATTGTGGCTTGCATCGATTATAGGTAATTGTTATGTGTGCTTAAGATTTTTTTTCTTTTCCTGGCACAGTGAGTGTGATGGTGTCCTCTCTCATATTCCATCACTTTCCATTATACAGTTTGTTTTTGGTTAATGATATATTACAGTTTTTCCATCTCATTGGTAGTATCTTCTCTGACGCAGGAATTTTCCTCAGGGATCTATTAGTGACATGGTCAAAGATGCTTCTTGTGGCATCTCATATATTTGTAACCATATTGCTGAGTATGGTGGTGATCCAAACCGGTATTGATCCTGTCAACAATTCTGTGAACATGGAAACTCTCAGGTTTTAGATTTCTAGCTCACTGATTTCTGATCTTTTTGTCGTGTAGGATTTATCTGATGGGTCAGTCTGCTGGTGCACATATCGCGGCTTGCACCCTTGTAGATCAGGTTGTTAAAGAGTCAGGGGAGGGGGACAGTGTTTCTTGGAGTAGTTCACAGATAAATGCTTATTTTGGTCTGTCCGGAGGGTAAGCCTAAACAGAATACGTGATGTGTCAAGAAGGTTGTATAAACAAGTATTTTTTTTGTAAAATGGTTGTAGATAATCGCATAGCTTACGATCAAATAGTAGTGTAATGAAGCTAGTAGATTCATGTCTTCTATCCAACTAAAGAGTAAAAGATTTAGAATATGTTTTAGACTTCACAATAATCTGTTATACTTTCTTTAAAAATCTCTGTGATCATGATCTACAGCTACAACCTTCTGAGCCTTGTAGACCACTTCCATAGCAGGGGACTCTATCGTTCCATCTTTCTGAGGTATAGCATCACTTCTTAGTATAGCTTAAGATGAGTTGTAGAGCAGCCAGGAATCAAGGTTAACGTGTGGCTTTTGTGTTCCTCAGCATCATGGAAGGAGAAGAATCGTTGAAGCAGTTTTCTCCCGAACTAGTAGTGCAAGAACCAAATCTCAAACACATTGTTGCTCGTCTCCCACCTATCATTCTATTCCATGGTACTGCTGACTACTCCATCCCTTCAGATGCAAGGTATTGTTAAAACAGTCGTAGCCTTGTGTGTACACACGTCTGTCTCATGTAGTTCAGGTGATTGAACTTCTGATACGTTATTTTTGTGTAGTAAATCTTTTGCTGAAACACTCCAGAGACTTGGAGGGAAAGCAGAAGTGATCCTCTACGAAGGGAAAACACACACGGATTTGTTTCTTCAGGTACAAAAAGGCAGATCTTGAATGTGTCTAGTCGTACAAGAACCTGAATATTGATCTAGAAACTTGGTTATATATGTTAGGATCCAATGAGAGGTGGAGTAGATGAGATGTTTGAAGATATAGTATCAGTGGTCCTGGGAGGCGACTCAGAAGTGATTGGTAAAAGCGTAGATAGAAGGCGTCTTGTGCCTGAATTCATGTTGAAGTTGGCTCACTGGGTCAGTCCTTTCTAACTTTCGCTCTCTTTATCTCCCAAAGAGAGTAGAGGAAGTAAACTCCTATGTATAGTACTTAACAAGGAGATACTGATGATTTTGAACTCTGATGATGATGATGAAATTGTATTCCAGTTTGCTATACACACGTTGATTCTTTTGTCATACTTCGGTTTGTGTTATTTGTAGAAAACAAAGATCGGTGAAGAAACGTCTTTATTTAGGTAGTCTCATTAAACTGTATTGGTCTTCTCCTTTCTTATGAGAGTTGCCAGTACTGAACGGGAAGATAAAGCTCTTACTCAATAAAAGTCAACACAATTAGTGGCTTTGTTGTGGGTCTTCGTAGTGTCGCCAAGCTAAACGCAGCCGTTTAATTACGGAACCAATCAATACAGGTTACTAGAGTAAATTATTCACAGTACAGGGTTACATTTGTAAATAAACGCTAATCAATACGAACACGAGCCGTGCAATTGAAGTGGCTCGTAGAAACTAGTTGTGAGAACATCATATGTGAATGACGAAAGTACCCCTGAAACCTTAACACGTGGCCTTTCACAATTAGTACTAGTGTAACTACAGGAGGTTATTATGGTAATAGAGTATTTTCATGGGGCCTTTTTACGGTGATGGATAATCAAAAAAAGAGATGCTCCATCTCATCTCATCTCCCCCAAATCAGAGTAAACCCTAATTGTCTGTAGCTTTCTCTCTCGAAGGAGATCTTTCCTTTGCAATACACTTTCTCGACTCTTGTTTATTACTTTCTCGTCAATCTCTCTCTCTCTCTCTTTGTTTGTGGATCGTCGTGGTTTGTTTCGGCAAAGAGAGAGTCGTATAGATCCGGATATGGCGACTGATACCTCGGGCGCGAAATCGAGCTCCTCCTCTGCGGATTCTTACGTAGGGAGCTTGATTAGTTTGACTTCCAAGAGCGAGATCAGATACGAAGGGATCCTTTACAATATCAATACCGATGAATCCAGTATCGGACTTCAAAACGGTACGGTGTCGTTTTAGTTCCTTCGCAAGATTTGTTAGATGTGCAGTGTTGTTATGATTCATGAATAAGTACGGTGCTCATGTCTACTATCTAGAGCTTATTAGATTGTAATCAAAGTCTTGAATCAGCTTTTAGTATATCCTCCTGATCCTTGTGATTTCAACGTTATGTATGTATGTGTGTAGTTCGATCATTTGGAACTGAAGGAAGGAAAAAAGATGGTCCTCAAGTTCCTCCAAGTGATAAAGTTTATGAGTACATATTGTTCCGTGGCACTGATATCAAGGTATCCATCATCGTTGTGCTTATTGCTTTTATATGATTAGTGTTTTATAATTGTTCTTGTTGTTGGCAGGATTTGCAAGTCAAAGCTTCTCCACCAGTTCAGCCACCAGCTCCACCTGCTTTAAACAATGATCCTGCTATTATTCAGGTCACTATAGTGCAAATTTTATAGATTAAATCTTGTCATGCTCTAATTGTCATTCTTTTGCAGTCTCACTACCCTAGCCAGAGTAGCTTGCCTCCTACCGTGAGCAATCCAATGCCTGACATTAGTTCTCATAATGGACAACCTGGACAGCATGGGATGGGATTCCAAAATTCAATGCCTTTGTATCAGCCTGGTGGAAATCTTGCTCCGTGGGGAGGCTCACCACAACAACCACCGATGTATTGGCAAGGATACTACACCCCACCTCCTCCCAATGGTCTTCCTCAGATGCATCAGCAGTCTTTGATTCGACCTCCTCATGGGCTGTCAATGCCTGGTTCTTTGCCGCAGCCTATTCCTTATCCTAACTTTAATGCGCCTCCACCTACTGGCTCATCGAATTTGCAGGGTTCAAGCTTGCTGGAACCACCCTCGTCGTTGTTTCCTTTTAGTAGCAGTTCTCAAACTCTAGCGCCCAGTTCTTTACCTTTTAGTGGTTTTCCTATGACGATGTCTTCAGGCCTGCAATCAACAATGCAATCAGCACCATCTCCTTCTCTAGTTTCAGAGATGGCACCTCCTTTGTTTTCGAACAATGCTCATATTGCTGTACCCTCTACACTACCTCAGGATACTAATTCACTTCCCTTTTCTCTACCAACTACTAGAGCCACTGATACAAGTGCTGGCTTTCCACTGTCTAACAAGTCTGGTGTAGGTACAGATCCTATTTCTTCGCCGCAGACAACATCAATTGCATCTGCTCCTGATTCTGGAGTCTCTAGTTCGGTTAGCCAAGATAAGCCAAAACCTTTGTTGGTTACCCCTGGCCAACTTCTGCAGTCTGGATCTGCTTCAGTTTCTTTGTCCCCACCCTCTAACAGCGCTGATAAGGATTCTGAGGTGGTTCAAGTATCATCATCAGCTGCATTGGAACAATCTGCTCCAGTCACATCAGAAGCCCAACCTCCAATATTGCCATTGCCTTCCTCTGCAAGGCAAACTCAGAAGGTTTTGAACTTACTTAAATTTCGAAAATATTTTTATTTGCTTGTCATTTATTTACTTGCCATCCCTTTAAACGATATTGATACTTCACTTGTTGATATGAGAACGAGCCTTGAATTCTAGATTTAAAAGTTGAGGAGTAATGAAAATGATATGATCTTGCATTTGCTGATTTCGGAGTTAGCTTGAATAATCTGTAGCTGTTTTATTTGAACTTGTGGTAAATGCCCATCCTATACCTTTTTGTCTTTGTCAAAGAGGCATGTAAAGATCTCTCGGTTCCTTGGTTGGTCTATATAGATTTCGTCTTGAATGTCTACTTACAAGTCTTCATTGTTTGATGATTAGTTGATCTAGTTTACTGTTTTTTTTTCTTCAGCCAAACGGACATTCGTTCCCAGCCCACAATGGTTACAGGGGACGTGGGAGAGGAAGAGGAAGGGGAGCAGGGGTAATATTCTTCTCTCTAATTTTTAGAATGTGCCAAGATGTACCACTTAAGTTAGCTCATCAATCTTAGCCATGTATTCTAATAAAGTAATAATTCTCCTTGTTGGCAGCGATCACACCAGGTAATGAAGTTCACGGAAGATTTTGATTTCACAGCAATGAACGAAAAGTTCAATAAGGATGAAGTATGGGGTCATCTTGGGAAGAGCACCAATGGTGATGGTGATGATGATTTCCCAGTCGTAGATGAACCTGAGGTGCCTAAAATCGAGGTCAAAGTAAGTGAAGTAAACTTATAATCAAGTAAAACCCCCCATATTTCCTTCCCCTCTTTGGTCTCTCATATACCTTAATTGTTTTATTGATGTAGCCTGTTTACAACAAAGACGACTTTTTCGATAGCCTCTCATCGAATTCGGGTGACCGAGATTCCCAAAATGCAAGGCCTAGGTTCTCAGAGCTACGGAAACTAGATACTGAGGTACATTCTAATATATTTCCATAGTCAAAAAGCAGAGTGGACATAATTATTGCCACTTCTTGTCTGGAAATACTCAAATTTTCCAGAATCTGAAGAGAAACTCATTGACACTTGACAAACGGTATTGGTATGATTTCAGACATTCGGTGAGTTTTCAAGATTCAGAGGAGGCCGAGGAGGGCGTGGTGGTTATGGTAGAAATGGTCATTCACGTGGTGGTTATGGTGGTCGTGGATATGGCGGCTATAATGGTCGCGGTGGTGGTGGCGGCGGTTACGGGTATGGTGGTCGTGGCCAAGGGAGAGGTGCTTGAAACCGTACTTGCCGTAAAAGTTGTGCTGAAAAGGGTTCTAAAGACTCGGAACCCGAAGTAGCTCGTCATGCTTAAAGTGCTGTTGGTATGTTGCAATAAAACAAAAACTTGAGTCCTATGTAATGTTTTTGTTGTTGGAGAAACCCCTTATGTGGCTTTCGAGTGTATCAATTTGATTTGGGATCTTTGTTTTAAGACTTGGTAATACCATATTTCAGTATTCAATGACATTTTTTTTTGTTTCTTATAATCTGTAATAGCTTCCTTACCTTGTGGGAATTTATTATGGTGACCAGGGGACTTGAAAGTCGAAACATTTTGACTTAAAAGAGAGGTCCATATACATAGATCCGTAATGTCTTTTTGTAATGAATTGAGACACATCACCTTCGGCAACTTTTAAAGTCTGAGAGTGTGTACTCACTGTAGACTGTAGTCAACTTTGAAGAGAGAGATAATAGAATGGGAAGTGCCTCACTTGTCTTGTTTGCCAGACTCTCAGGTTTAGTAATCGCGGTTTTGGTTGTGTACTGGGCTCTCTTGCTCGTCCCTCATCAAGGCGTCACATACTCTGTAATTTCTCACTCTCCTTGTTGATTTCAACTTGGATCTCTCTCTCTGGTCTCTAATCAAGTTTTAATTCACTGCAGACACTTTTTACAAAAAAAAAAAATTCACTGCAGACACTCATCCTCTTTTGATGGTGATTGGCTTCATTCTTGTAAGTGGGGAAGTACCGGTCCCTCCCTCTCCATATCATTTGAGTTATGGACACTGTTTTCATGTTGTTGCGTTGAGGAAGAAGTGTAATTGTCTTATAGAATATCTTGTGTTTGATACAGTTATAAGGCGTGGGGTTCTCTTTTAGGACAGCAGTTATGAGAAAGAGATATTATTGTGGCTTGCATTGATTACAGGTAGTTATCATGTGTGGTGAAGGCTTTTTTTCCTAGCACAATGAGTGTGATGGTGTCCTCTCATCTTCCATCACTCAGATTCTCCATCTCATTGGTAGTAAATTCTCTTACGCAGGAATTTTCCTCAGGGATCTATTAATGACATGGTCAAAGATGCTTCTTGTGGCATCTCATACATTTGTAATCATATTGCTGAGTATGGTGGTGATCCAAACCGGTAATAATCCTGTCAAGAATTCTTTGAACATGGAAGCTCTCAGGTTTTGAATTTTTTGCTCACTGTCTGATCTTTTTGTCGCGTAGAATTTATCTGATGGGTCAGTCTGCTGGTGCACACATCGCTGCTTGCACCCTTGTAGATCAGGTTGTTAAAGAGTCAGGGGAAGGGGACAATGTTTCTTGGAGTAGTTCACAGATAAATGCTTATTTTGGTCTGTCCGGAGGGTAAGCCTTTCTTCTGATCCCAGAACAATAATACATTGGAATTGAGATGTCTCAAGAAGTTGTTAAAAACAAATTTCTTTTTAAGCATTTTTTGTAAAATGGTAGTTGATAATTTCATAACTTAAGATCAAGTAGTAGTGTAATGAAGCAAGTAGACTCATGTCTTTTATCCAAGTAAAGACGAAATGATTTAGAATTCACAATTATCTGTTCTACTTTCCTTCAAAATATATGTGATCATGATCTGCAGGTACAACCTTCTGAGCCTTGTAGACCACTTCCATAGCAGGGGACTCTATCGATCCATCTTTTGAGGTATAGTATCAATTCTTGGTATAGTTTAAGATGAGCTCTAGAGCAGCCTTGAATTTTGAAGTTTAACGTGTGACTTTTGTGTTCCTCAGCATCATGGAAGGGGAAGAATCATTAAGTCAGTTTTCTCCTGAACTAGTAGTGCAAAACCCAAATCTGAAACACATCATTGCTCGTCTCCCACCTATTATTCTATTCCATGGTACTGCTGACTACTCCATCCCTTCAGATGCAAGGTATGGTTAAAACTTCCTTAGCCTATTGTGACATGTCTGTCTCATGTAGTTCAGGTGGTTGATATGGTGATTGAACTTCTGGTACGTTATCTTTTGCAGTAAATCTTTTGCTGAAACCCTCCAAAGACTTGGAGCGAAAGTAGAAGTGATCCTTTAAGAGGGGAAAACACACACGGATCTGTTTCTTCAGGTACAAAATGGCAGGTCTTGTATGTGTTTAGTCGTACAAGAACCTGAATATTGATCTAGAAACTTGGTTATATATGTTAGGATCCAATGAGAGGTGGTCCAGGTGGAGTAGATGAGATGTTTGAAGATATAGTATCAGTGGTCCTGGGAGGCGACTCAGAAGTAATTGGTAAAAGCGTAGAGAGAAGGCGTCTTGTGCCTGAATGCATGTTGAAGTTGGCTCACTGGGTCAGTCCTTTCTAACTCTCACTAACTCTCTTTATCTCTCCCAAGAGAGCAGAGGAAGTAAACTTCTTCTATGTATAGTACTTAACAAGGACCATTATACTTCAAAGATACTGATGATGATGATGAAATTGTATTCCAGTTTGCAATACACGTTGATTCTTTTGTCACTCTTCAGTCTTCTCATTAAACTGTATTGGTCTTCTGCTTTCTTATGAGAGTTGCCAGTATTGAACCGGAAGATAAGCTCTTTACAAGAAAAGTCAATACAAGAAAACAAAAGGTTTGTGCATCAAAGCAGCATGAATATTAAAAAAGATAAACATTAAAAAATGTTAAGCACATGATGATTCATAAGAAAAGGCTAATTAGTGGGTTTGTTGTGGGTCTTCGTAGTGTCGCTAAGCTTAACACGGCTGCGTTTTATACGGAACCAATCAATACCGGTCACTAGAGTAAAGCATTCACAGTACAGGGGTTACATTTGTAAATAAACGCTAGTCAGTCAATACGAACACGAGCCGTGCAATTGAAGTGGCTCGTAACCACTGTTTGTGAGAACATCATATGTGAATGACGGAAGTACCCCCAAAATCTAAACACGTGGCCTTTTACAATTAGTAGAATCTGAAAGTCAGTGTAACTAGACGAGGCTATTATGGTAAAATAGATATTCTCATGGGGGCCTTTTTACGGTGATGGATAATAATCAGAAAGAGAAAGCTCGATCTCATCTCTCCCCCCAAATCAGAATAAACCTAATTGTCTGTAGCTTTCTCTCTCTCTCTCTCTTTGTTTGTGGATTCGTCGTGGTTTGATTCGGCGAAGAGAGAGACATACAGATCCGGCCATGGCGACTGATAACACAGGCGCGAAATCGAGCTCCTCCTCCGCGGATTCTTACGTAGGGAGCTTGATTAGTTTGACTTCCAAGAGCGAGATCAGATACGAAGGGATCCTTTACAACATCAATACCGATGAATCCAGTATCGGACTTCAAAACGGTACGGTGTCGTTTTAGTTCCGTCTCAAGATTTGTTAGATGTGCAGTATTATTATGATTCATGAATAAGTAGTGCTCATGTCTACTATCTAAAGCTTTATTAGATTGTAATCAAAGTCTTGAATAAGCTTTTAGTAATTTGCAACGTATGTATGTAGTTCGATCATTTGGAACTGAAGGAAGGAAAAAAGATGGTCCTCAAGTTCCTCCAAGTGATAAAGTTTATGAGTACATATTGTTCCGTGGCACTGATATCAAGGTATCCATCATCGTTGTGCTTATTGCTTTTATGTGATTAGTGTTTATATTGTTCTTGTTGTTGGCAGGATTTGCAAGTCAAAGCTTCTCCACCTGTTCAGCCACCAGCTCCACCTGCTTTAAACAATGATCCTGCTATTATTCAGGTGATTATGGTGAAAAATGCTATAGATTAAATCTTGTACAGGTGTGTGTGTTCATGCTCTAATTGTCATTCTTTTGCAGTCTCACTACCCTAGCCAGAGTAGCTTGCCTCCTACCGTGAGCAATCCAATGCCTGACATTAGTTCTCATAGCGGACAACCTGGACAGCACGGGATGGGATTCCAGAACTCGATGCCTTTGTATCAGCCTGGTGGAAATCTTGCGCCGTGGGGAGGCTCACCACAACAACCACCAATGTATTGGCAAGGATACTACACCCCACCTCCTCCCAATGGTCTTCCTCAGATGCATCAACAGTCTTTGATTCGACCTCCTCATGGGCTGTCAATGCCACCGCAACCTATTCCGTATCCTAACTTTAATGCTCCTCCATCTAGTGGATCATCGAATCTGCAGGGTTCAAGCTTGCCGGAGCCACCCTCGTCGTTGTTTCCTTATAGTAGCAGTTCTCAAACTCTAGCACCTAGTTCGTTGCCTTTTAGTGGTTTGCCTATGACGATGTCTTCAGGCCTGCAATCAACAATGCAATCAGCACCATCTCCTTCTCTGGTTTCAGAGATGGCACCTCCTTTGTTTTCGAACAATGCTCATATTGCTGTACCCTCTACACTACCTCAGGATTCTAATTCGCTTCCCTTTTCTCTACCAACTACTAGAGCCACTGATACAAGTGCTGGCTTTCCACTGTCTAACAAGTCTGGTGTAGGTACAGATCCTATCTCTTCGCCGCAGACAACATCGTTTGCATCTGCTCCTGAGTCTGGAGTCTCTAGTTCGATCAGCCAAGATAAGCCAAAACCTTTGTTGGTTACCCCTGGCCAACTACTGCAGTCTGGATCTGCTTCAGTCACTTTGTCCCCACCCTCTAACAGCGCTGATAAGGATGCTGAAGTAGTTCAAGTATCATCATCAGCTGCGTTGGAACTATCTGCTCCAGTCACATCAGAAGCCCAACCTCCAATACTGCCATTGCCTTCCTCTGCAAGGCAAACTCAGAAGGTTTTGAACTTACTTAAATTTCAAAAATCTTTTTATTTGCTTGTCATTTATTTACTTGCCATCCCTTTAAACGATATTGATACTTCACTTGTTGATATGAGAACGAGCCTTGAATTCTAGATTTAAAAGTTGAGGAGTAATGAAAATGATATGATCTTGCATTTGCTGATTTCGGAGTTAGCTTGAATAATCTGTGGCTGATGTATTTGAACTTGTGGTAAATGCCCATCCTATGCCTTTTTGTCTTTGTCAAAGAGGCATGTAAAGATCTCTCGGTTCCTTGGTTGGTCTATATTAGATTTCGTCTTGAATGTCTACTTACAAGTCTTCATTGTTTGATGATTAGTTGATCTAGTTTACTGTTTTTTTTTCTTCAGCCAAACGGACATTCGTTCCCAGCCCACAATAGTTACAGGGGACGTGGGAGAGGAAGAGGAAGGGGAGCAGGGGTAATATTCTTCTCTCTAATATTTAGAATGTGTCAAGATGTACCACTTAAGTTAGCTCATCAATCTTAACCATGTATTCTAATAAAGTAATAATCCTCCTTGTTGGCAGCGATCAAACCAGGTAATGAAGTTCACGGAAGATTTTGATTTCACAGCGATGAACGAAAAGTTCAATAAGGATGAAGTATGGGGTCATCTTGGGAAGAGCACCAATGGCGATGGTGATGATGATTTCCCAGACGTAGATGAACCTGAGGTGCCTAAAATCGAGGTCAAAGTAAGTGAAGTAAACTTATAATCAACCGCCATATTTCCTTCCCCTCTTTGGTCTCTCATATACCTTAATTGTTTTATTGATTTAGCCTGTTTACAACAAAGACGACTTTTTCGATAGCCTCTCGTCAAATTCTGGTGACCGAGATTCCCAAAATGCAAGGCCTAGGTTCTCAGAGCTACGGAAACTAGATACTGAGGTACAATCTAATATATCTCCTCAGTAAAAAAAACAGAGTAGACAAAATTATTGCCACCTCTTGTCTGGAAATACTCAAATTTTCCAGAATCTGAAGAGAAACTCATTGACACTTGACAAACGGTATTGGTATGATTTCAGACATTTGGTGAGTTTTCAAGATTCAGAGGAGGCCGAGGAGGGCGTGGTGGTTATGGTAGAAACGGTCATTCACGTGGTGGTTATGGTGGTCGTGGATATGGCGGCTATAATGGTCGCGGTGGTGGTGGCGGCGGTTACGGGTATGGTGGTCGTGGCCAAGGGAGAGGTGCTTGAAACCGTACTTCCTTAAAAGTTGTGCTAAAGAGGGTTCTAAAGACTCGGAACCCGAAGTAGCTCGTCATACTTAAAGTGCTTTTGGTGTGTTGCAATAAAACAAAAACTTGAGTCCTATGTAATGTTTTTTGTTGTTAGAGAAACCCCTTGTTTGGTATTCAAGTGTATCAATTTGATTTGGGATCTTTGTTATAAAACTTGGTAATACCATATTTCAGTATTCAAATGACATTTTCTTTGGTTCTTTCTATATATTCTGTAATAGCTTCTTGCCTTGAGGAAATTTATTATGGTGACCAGGGAAGGGACTTGAAAGTCGATAACATTTTGACTTTTAAAGTAGTAGCAGCCTTAACTGAAATGGGCCGTACAAGGAGATAAAGAGAGAAAAGTCCATAATGTCTTTTTGTAATTAATTGGACAAATCAGTTTGTTTGTCGGCAACTTTTAAAGTCTGAGAGTGTGTATTCACTGTAGTCAACTTTGAAGAGAGAGATAATAGAATGGGAAGTGCTTCACTTGTACTGTTTGCGAGACTCTCGGGGTTAATTATCGCGGTTTTGGTTGTATACTGGGCTCTCTTGCTCGTACCTCATCAAGGCCTCACATACTCTGTAATTTCTCACACTCCTTGTTGATTTCAAACTGGATATCTCTCTATATTCTTGTCTGTAATCAAGTTTGTCCTTTTGTAGACTCTTCATCCTCTGCTGATGGTAATTGGCTTTATTCTTGTAAGTGGAGAAGGTAATACTGATCCCTCTCTTGATACCCTTTTTCAAGTTTTCATCTCTTTCTTGAATGATATATTTTGATTAATTGGATAATGCAGCGATTCTGATACACAGATGGTTGCCTGGTTCAAGAAAAACGAAGAAAGCAGTTCACCTATGGATGCAAGGAGTGGCATTGGTCTCTGCTGTGTTTGGGATATGGACAAAGTTCCATTATCAATCGGGAGTTTTCTCAAACTTCTACAGTCTCCATTCTTGGATGGGTCTACTCTCTATTTCTCTCTTCGCTGCTCAGGTCCGTTCCTTTTTTTCTTTTTCTCACCAACATTATTAATTTTATTCAATTATTATATTAATCATCTGACATTTTTAATGCATTATCAAATCCATCAGACAAAAGTGTGAAAGACTAGATGCTATCTTTAACGAAAAAAATAATAATAATTCAAAAGGTTGGATTACCCGTTGCTATCATGATATATTCATCTTTATTTTTTTTTTAATTTTCAATCAATAATGTAAAGAATGACTAAGGAAGAAACTGAGTACCCACTTGGGATTAGTTTCTAATTGTTACGAAACTGACAAGATTCCCCCTAAATTATTAATTTAATTATCAAACAGGTAGAACCATTCACTAGTCATTATTGTCACTTCAGTCTATACGCTAACGCTAAGTAGGTACCCCACGACACTTGGCAGGCTCTTTAAAGGTTTAAATAGTTCGTTTTAATAGTTGCGGTTTTGATATGGAGTCCTTAAGTTATGATTTATCACGAAAATGCCTCTCAACTTTTATTAGTAATTATTGCAGTGGGTGACTGGGTTCTTGAGCTTCTGGCATAGAGGAGAAGTAAGGACAACAAGAACCACGTTTCTTCCATGGCATGTCTTCCTCGGACTCTACACCTACGGTCTAGCCATTGCCACCGCTGAGACCGGACTTCTTGAGAAGCTCACTTTCCTTCAGACCAACAGAAACGTCCCAAGACGCTGTCATGAATCAACGGTCGTCAACGGTCTTGGTCTTGGCTTAGTTTTGCTCAGTGGCGTTGTTATAACAGCTGCTATTTTGCCAAAGTATCAGAATAGCCATTCTGGTAATGAGAAACTCGTTTATTCATCTCAAGATCGTCGCAAATGTCTGACTTCTTGAGTTTAAAAAAATTGTTTTTGTACTGATTTTGGTGACAAAGCTACACATCTCTGGTGTACAAATTAGTTCTTTAGAAAATGTATTACCGCATTGTGATGATTAGACTTCTGTCAACAAACTTGGCTCCTCCAACTTTTCCTTGAATCTGTGACGGTAAACGAATCACTCTTCTTTGGTCCCCAGCTTCTACCAGTAGCTCAGAGCCTCCTCTGTACTGCAATTCCATCAAGCAACGATCGTTTCAGTAACCAAAGAGAGTCCAAATGGAGAAATGAGATGTTCTTTTCTTACTTGATACAGTTTGATTTCAGTTTTTTCAAACCCTGGCATGAACAGAGTCACTGACTTCTTAGCTGTATCAAACGTTACTGGTGGCGGCAAGCTACTTCCTTGTCTTACTGTTCCAGAAAGAAGCTCCCTTACACTCGAGTTCGCTTGGTCCAGCAGAATCTTGTCCCAATCCAGACCGTTCTTAGTAAATGGAACTGATGCAGAAGCAAAAGGCAACGGCACAAACTCTTCTTCTGTGATTTTGTTTGACTCAGAAGAAGAAGAAGATATAGCAAAAGCGGCAGAAGCATGAGATCCTGCTTGTATAGTACAACCCCAATAACGCAATGCGGATTTAACAGACATAGGATTGTTTGGATCCATTACAAGAAAGCTCCTGAATCTTTCTGTGTCTCTCAACGTAGAAGCACCAGTCTGTTGTTTGCATAAAATTCACAATGAGGGATACATTAGTGTGAAGAAACAGAGTTATGAAACAGATAGATACCTCCAAGAAACGTTCCAAAGTATCCCACATGGCAGCAGTTGTCTGACCATCGAAAGGCGACTTGTTGCCGCTTAAGTTCATTGACTCATCAACAAATCTCATGATGGAAGGACTTGTTAGCCTCCCAAGATCAGTCTTCTCAGCCAAACTCCTCAGATATTTCACATACAATCTGCCACAAACCCCATATACTTAAATAAGGGCTGCAAGAAAGAAAATAAACACAGAACAGTTCAAAGGAGACCTTGTTTTACTGCTTAAACCTATCATCCTAAGAGTTTCCTCAGTGCTGAGACCATCGTAAACTACAACGTCAAAAGCCTTTCCCTTATGGTTCTTTCGTGTCGCTTGCCTAAAGAAACCAACAAGCCTCTCGAGTTCAAGCATTGAAAAGATTGAGTCCATCCCTGGAAGCACTCCCAACTCTTCTCCAACTATCTACTAACACAGCAACAGCTAAAAACAAATGAGGACTTAAGAATCCAAAACACTAGCAGATATGATAAGCTGTGCTGTTCACATACCTACCCCTTCAAGAACCCCTTGGGTCATATTAAGTCGAGCATCTGCTTGCTTCAGCTGTTTGAGAGGTTCAAGAAGCATCTGCATTGTTTTTTTTTTCAGGAATAATTAATTGTTAAGGAAAGTTCAAAACTTTTAATAACAGATGGAAACAGAGAAGGGAACACACACTTTTGTGGTTTCAAGCCTAATAACGGAGAGGTTGTCGTTGATTAAGGTAGGAGAAGAGCCAATCTTGGTTCCAAGGAGGAAATCAGCAGAAGGGTCTTGACTATGTACCACAAGGCATGTACTGAGCCCAGCCAACGCGTAATGCTATGAGCCAATAGACATTTTGAATTAGTTATTAGTTACGTAATAACACCAAGCAGTTAGCTTTATAAATTCAACAATTTTAGATGTAACAAAAACATCTGAAAGCTTCGATCTTTCAGACAATCAATGTAATGCTGAATTGTAACATTAGAGATTCATGGTGTCTGACAATCAATCTCTAGCTTGATCCCATAAAAGGTTCAAAACCAAAATTGATTCCATGCAATTGCTACCAGAGTTCCGTAATGCAACTAGAAAGAGATTACAAAGAAAAAGGAATGATTTTTTCACCTGAGCGGCGAAAACAGAGGCGGTGGTCTTGCCGGAGCCGCCTTTACCGAGGAAAGTGACGAAGTTGGTGGGTTTCTGAGAAGATTCATCTCTGGAAGAAGTTGCCACCACCACAGAAGAAGCTGGTCGGTGTTTCCTGGAAGCTGACGTCACCACAAGGGATGAGAGGATATTAAGACCAGGGCTTGAGCATGTGAGAGAAGAAGCTAGCAAAGTCACCATTTTTGTCTGTGTCTGAGTGTGTGAATTTCAAGATATCAGACTGTTAGCTCTGGAGATTTTGAGCGGCTTGTAATAAAGGAGTAACGGATCTAACACAGCGACACACGATTGACGCTTGAATTCGATCCGACACGAACTCTTCACATTTTCCAACTACTTTATTTATATGGGATCATGTTCTGTTTGTGTCCATAATCTCAGCTAAATGTTTTTTTTTTTATTTGGTCATCTAATTGCAAAACTAATTAAACCAATACAATCCTGAACCGGTTCAGCCAAATTAAAACACATCCTGAACCGACACGGAGAAAAAGGCAAACTAGCCTCGTCTATAAGCTTCAACACTAAAACGGCAGCGTTCTTTACATAGAACAAGACTTTTGTTTTGCCTATTACAATAACTCATAGAGGGCAGAAGACAGAGAGAGATCTGCGAATCTTAGACGAGGACAAGGGGAATTAGTAACAAGGATTTGAACAACCTCGATCGAAAAAGATGGTACGTCTTTGTTTTGTCATCGATTGAAATTGATCTCCTAATCTCTAAGATTGAATTATTTGTTTCGCAATTAGTTTAGATTTATTTGGAGATTTTAGGGTCGGATTTAGGGTTCATTAGGAATTTGATTTTGTATCAATAGATTGGCGTATTTTTTTTGTGTCCCATTAGATACTTTTAGGTTTCTGTAATCATGTCAGTTTTCTCTGAATTCGAATCCGTTCTACAATTTTTGACAATTTACAGCTAATCGAATGAGTTACTTATTGTGGGACTTTCATTGGTTTAGTTTGCATCATATAAACTTGAAAATCTATTGGAGGGATCCTATTTGGTTTGGTGTTTTCATTGATGTTAGTTTCATGTAGTGTTCATCATTTTTAACTTCGTCCTTTTGTTTTTTGTTTTTTTTTTGCAGTCGACACTTTCAGCTGCGAGGGCAGATAACTTTTACTATCCACCAGAATGGACACCGGATCAAGGTTCCTTGAACAAGTTTCAAGGCCAGCATCCTCTCAGAGAGAGGGCAAAGAAGATAGGCGAGGGTATTCTGGTCATAAGGTAAATATATAATCACTTAGGAGACGCTACTTTCTTTTTTGGGTGAATTCTTCTTATCAGCTGTTCATTACATTCCCTTCATAATCCCATGAATATAGCATCAAACAGTTATGATGATCAAAGTTAGGAGAAAGTGTGTGTGTGTTAGGCTTGAGTTGTTGGAATGTGTGTATATCTCCCTGTTGATTGATCAGAGGCTCTGCTTTTGTTGAATTGGCAGGAGGGTACAGTCACTTATATTGAAATTTTTATTTTATTTATTTCAGGTTTGAGATGCCATATAATATATGGTGTGGTGGCTGCAATTCTATGATTGCCAAGGGTGTTCGTTTCAATGCTGAAAAGAAGCAAGTTGGCAACTATTATTCTACCAAGGTACGATATTGAGAGACTCTTTCCTTTCCCTATGATCACTTAAAATTTGACACCTTACTCCTCTGTTTCTTCTCATGTTCTGGAAAACCACCATGTGCATTGCACAAAAGCATGTGTATTGCATAAGCATTATATATATATATATTCGTGTTTTGCTCACTATGGAAACTATTGCTGAGGTTATATCTTATATTATGGTCAGATATGGAGCTTTGCGATGAAAGCACCGTGCTGCAAACAGGAGATAGTCATTCAGACAGATCCTCAGAACTGCGAGTATGTGATTACTAGTGGTGCTCAGAAGAAGGTTGAGGAATATGACGTTGAAGACGCTGAAACCATGGAGCTCACTGCTGAGGAAGGTTGGCTTCTACCTTCTGCTACAATTCTACTTTAGGTCTCTCGGTTGGTGTTTTAGCTTTTCATACTTGTTCTTCCGGCTCATTCTCGATATGATTACTATATATGCAGAGAAGGGAAAGCTTGCAGACCCGTTTTATCGTCTAGAGCACCAAGAAGTTGATTTGCAGAAGAAGAAAGCAGCGGAACCCCTTCTGGTCCGTCTCCAGCGAGTCTCAGATGCAAGACATGCAGATGACTACTCCCTAAACAAAGCTCTACGTGCACAGATCAGGGTAAATTACTTACAAGTCTCTGCTTAGCACTCGTTTTTTTTTTTGTTGATTCCTCCTTTTTAGCTTTTTGCTCGTTTCTGCAGGGACACAGGAAACGTGTAGCTGAAGAAGAGGCTGCTTCAAGGAAGCTAGGCTTGGGGATTAGACTTCTTCCAAAAAGCGAAGAAGACGTTGCAGCTGCATCAAACGTGAAGTTCAAGTCCAAGCTTGATAAGAACCGAAACGATAAACGAGCGCTGATCCATGCATCTTCCATCTTTCCGGAGTCATCTTACTCTATGTCATCATCAAGCAAGAAAAGATTGGAGCTAGAAGCAAAGAGAAGGAAGATATGCGCAGGGTCAGCGTCAAGTCTATTGAGAGGAGAATTCAAAGCTTCATCATTGTCTAAAACCCCATCATCAGCAAACAATTTCAAGAGTTCAACAGTTTCTGTAAGGAAGCTGTAGTTTATCAACTGTGCTTGAATCAACTTATTATCAGTTATATCTGATCATGGCTTTGGTCTTGTTAACTATATTGTAATGAACGAAATGAGTTGAAAAGAAAAAGAAAAATCTTATGATATATATATCTGAAACCAATTCTGTTACTAAAATCATATTAACTAAAGAGCAAGAAGCTTATACAACCTTGGAAGCAATAGCAACTACATTCTCTTACAACAGTCTTTCAATGAGGTTACTGTGTGAAACTCTCTGGAAACTCTTTATCAAATTGGGTACCCTTCTCAAGAAACACATTGATTCTCCACAAAACCATCTTACTTTCCATTCTCAGCCCTTTGATCTCATATAGCTCCCAAAGCAAATCCTTGACCAATTTGTACTCATCAGCATTATACGACTCCACCTGTTTCTTCACAATGCTTTCAAGATCTCTGAAACCTCTCCTCACAAGCCCCACTTCCATGTCTCTTTCCACAAGCTCCCTCACTGAGTCCACCATCTTATCTAAAATCTCATCAGCTGTATCAATGTCACTCTCGAACAAGTGAATAGCAGCACAGAACCCACTAACAAACGCCAACACCCAGCCACTGTTATCCACCAACAACTCTCCTGGTGAGTTTATTAACCTTCTCCTTATCTCTGGGAGAAGATTATTAACCGCAGGAATCACATACTCTTTATCATTAACCATCATTGTTAAACACTGGAAGATATAAGCTGTTCTTTCGAACTCTGATTCACATTCTGCTGCTATATAGTCCCATAGGTCAAACCATCTATCCTCTTGGTAGCACAATAACTCAAGTGCAACGTGAAACACCACCTTGCCGAGAAGCTTGAACGTGTTCTCCGGAACTCCAACCTCAGTGAGGCAAGACATGAGCGGTTTCTTCATCTGTCTCATCTCTGAAACATCAATCTTGGCTCTATTTGAAGTGTGGTCACAGAGTAAATAGTGGAGTCTTCCCACTGCTATCTCTCTGGACTTGTCATCCATCGTAGTTGATGCAACCATTCTCAAGATTTCCAATGCAGATAAGGTATTTAACTTGTTGTACAAGTCTAGGTCAAACCCTTGGTTCTCAACTACAGAGTCGCTGAGTTTGAAGGCTTGGTTGCAAACAGAGTTCTCTAGTTTTGTAACCATCTGATAGATCTTCCTTGCAGCCCCGTGTGTGTGTTTTCCGATCCCTAAGATATTAAACGCAAACTCTGACACAAATTCGCATTGGTTTCTACTGTATCTACACATGTTAACGTCTTGCGCAAGGAACTTCACGAGATGAGCAAGCCCTCGTTGCAGAAACTCTTCTTTACCGTGCATCACAAGATTATCAGCTGACTTGAAAACAGTGCCAAGAATCTCCCTCGCCAAATCAAAACCCGTTTTTGAATCCGAAAGCTGAATCCCAAGTTTAACCGAAGTTTCAAGAGCCAGAGTCCAATACTCTTCGTTGTCTCTATCTTTCTCAGGGTTAAGCAACACCTCATCGATTTCTTCAACAAGATCTTTCAAGAACCGGTTCAAGAATCCATCACCGAGTAAAGGCAAGTCTAGGAAGATATTGAAAGCCCTAAGAGGATCAGTGTTCACGAGTGTAAGCATACAATCTCCAAGCTCGTCCCACCCGTTACGATCCACCTCCACAACGTTTCTTGCTACGCAAGAAACGATTCTTCTTAACATCTTGGTGTCAGGTTTCCTTGCTTCTGGCATTGTCAAGCAAGAAACAAGAAGAGGCTTTATAACATCAAGTGCCACGAGAGAGAGTTCGGAGCTGAGGTTTCTTAAACAGGTGAGAGTTTCGGAGAGGAGACAGATCGCTCTGAATCTGTTGAGGTCGTCGGAAGAGTGTAGATACACGTTGAGAAGCATTAGGGTTAAGCAGTTTGAGAAGTTGGTGACGCAGAACTTGTACAGAGCTTGCGCGCTTTGACACTCGTAGGTTTCTTCAGGCTTGAAGAGTTGGTCGACGACGTACGATAAGCCTTCGTGGCTTGGAGTCGCGAGAAGGTCCCTTGCTGAAAACATGAGATGTGAAAATTCCGCCATTTTTTGTTCATGCAAACTTGTGCTCAAGTGATCTCTTAAGAGGATACTTAAGGTTTTTTTTTTTTTTTTTTGGTTTACAGCTTCTTAAATACTTACCTCAACCTATATACGTAAATAGATTTGGTTTAACAAAATTATGATTTGGTTCAATTTTCAATTTCGTTTGGTTTTTGTAAAAAAATAGCTTAAAATGTATATAATATGTTTAGGTTATACTATGGGAATTTGTTTGGCTAATAAAACATTTATTTTAGTTTGCAAATTTTAAATAATTATTATATATTTGTTTTCTATATACTTTCTAGATTATAAAAGAATCCTTTTTTATAAATTTTTACTTTGATATGTTTGGTAGGCGCTACACTTTGTGGCGGGTCCTGCCAATCGTATATTATAAATGTACTTTACATCATCATTAAACTAGGAAATTCAAATATTTAACCTATCATTTCATTCCTTAAAGTTAAGCAATTTTTTAAGGAGGATGAGATGTGTCGGCAATTTACGAATCGGACAGACACGCAACTAGAGATGATGATTGTTGTTTCCAGAATAGTTAAAACACCTTGGACCACTTGGAGACTTGGAGTTGTAACGAAATATATTATCAAAAGCATACTCAACGTGATTTGATATGATTATACATGTGATTAACATCGACTATATATACTGTTACAAACAAACAAAAAAACTATATATTTTTACAGTTCTTGATTGATCTTAATTGCCAAGATTTGACCAAATAATATCCTTCGAATCTGATAACATGGAATTAATGGTGACGCATTTTTTAATGGATGAGTGTTTCACGAGCTATGGTTTATCTGATTAATCCAAACCGATATATTAACGTGTTACCTTTATATCAGGCGTTTTTATATCAATCCAAAGTCAACTATTAGACTTTAGAAAAAAACTATTAGACTTTTAGAGGTTATCAAAGCCTTCAGCTAAATCCAAGATCCACACACAATCTGTTTAAATATCTTACTAAAAAATACGCGCCTTTTAATCAAGTGTTGGCTGTCGACTTTTTATTTATTTTGCAATGATGTTAAACTCTTTGTGGAAAACATAACTTTATAAACATAATCTTAAAATCCGTAATGAATTTCTTTAGTCTAAATTTCGCTTATGTTTCAGAACTATTTTGCTATAGTTGGTATTGACCACTTACACACAAAGGCTCTATTAAAATGTATCTTGATATGATCACGTACCGTACCAGCTAGCACGGTGAATTATATGTTAATATTTTCTGTGGCTGAATCACTTAGGAAGATGCTTTATTCCATTGTGGAAGTGCGACATATTTGATGTTTTTCATTACGGTAATAGTATACAGTTTGACCAAACAAGTGCATTTTATATAATGTTCTCATAGATTGTTTTTGACGGTGGCACAACCGAACAACTCGAAAGAACGATTCACCAAGAGCCCACGTATATTTGTTGGGATCTATACAACAAACGTAGTAATTGCGTTTATAGTCGGTCTTGTAATTTTGCGTTTTATATCTATTCTCATAGTTTGGCTGTCAACATTTATTGGCTTGTCGTCATCTATTTGTTGGGTGGATACTGGATCGAGTGGTAGAAAACAGCTCCAACGAACGTGCCATCCAAAGCCACATGCTGTAACCATCCCTTCGACTTTCACGTTTACATGACATTATGTATTCTAGATTTGTAATTTTAAGATATTTGATCGGTGTTCTAGGTTGTAGCTCAGAACGATTTAAGTATTGTTTTATTTTACGTAGTAGACTTGTAGGTCATTGGGGATCGTGTATTTTCTTTAATATCTCAAATTTGAATCTATAATAAGTTTTAGATTTTCTCATTTTTGTCTTATCTTTTCTTATATATATTGTGCTCATGCTATGTTTTGTAAGTTTTATTTGATATATGACTCTGCCTATTACACGTTTTCAGTTCCTTGTAGCAATTACTTCAAGCAGGATGAGGTGTGTTGGCAACATACGAATCGCACAAACCACGTAACTGAAGATATGGTGGTAAAATGATATTTATAGACATTTTCAACAAATGGACCATTTGTAGTTCCAACCATTAAACCTTATCCAAAACCAATACAACGAGATATGATAGATAAATTACAAATGTTTGGTTAATGAAATTATCTTTTATAGAACGAAGTGTGTTTTTGACACAAAAAAAAAAAAAATTTAAAACGGTAACTTACAAAGTTGGAACATACAAATATGTTATTAAAGTCAACATCTAAAAGTCTTAGACTTGGTCTACCCGACGATAAACATACGATCTTGAAATGTACACGAACGCAAAGAAAGCAATGGCCGTGGATGCGGCCAACAACCAGTAAAAATAATCAACATGAGCTCGGTTCAAGTTGTTATTGAACCAGCTATGACCACCATCTCTCCCCGTTGCCAAATCAACAACAATGATGACAAGACCACTCAAGAAGTTCGAAAGACCCAACGCACTCAAAGAAAAAGCAAGACCTATACTCCTAAGCTCCGTAGGGACCTGATCATAGAAGAACTCTTGTGCACCTACCAAACCAAACACTTCAATCATCCCAACCAACATATACTGTGGTACAAACCACCATATCGACATTGGAATGGTTACGTCCGGTTTATCAATAAGCCCGTGTTTCTCAGCCGTTTTTAACCGTTTGGCTTCTACCAATGCTGCGAGCACCATGTTGAAGAACGTAAGAACCATTCCGGTTCCTATTCTCTGGAGCATTGTGATCCCATTAGGCTTTTTTGTAATTTTTCTAGCTATAGGCAAGAACACATGCTCGTAGATTGGAACTGAGATGAGAACTGATATGGACACGAGTGACAAAAAAGAAGCTGGAGGGATCTCCAACCCCGGCAAGATTCTTCTGTCCACGGTAACACCTTGCTTGGTGAAGAGAGTTGAGTATTGAGCGTAAGGAATCATGCTTATCATTGATGTGATCCATATCGGAATAAGCCTTACCAAGCCCTTGGCGTCTTCCACGTCCACATTACTACATGGCTCTACACCTTCTCCTAGGAGCATGGATTTTGCTAGGAATCTTGTGAAAAAAACGTCAAAACAAGTCAAGTCAAGCACTAAACCCTAATTAATATGATGTTATAATTTTGTACTCCCCTGTTCCACAAAAATAATATTTATGAATTCTTCACATATATTAAGAAAATAAATTATTTTGTGTCATAAATGCATTATTTTCTGCGAATATAAATTTTCAATAAAGTTAAACAAATAGCAACTCAATAAACTTTTTTTTTTAAGTTACAAGTTACTATTATTAAATAATAGAAAATCATAGAAAACACAGAATTTCTATCTTTATGAAAATTTTTATCTTTGTGGAGAGGAGGGAGTGATACTTCATATGAAATTCACATATTTGACAAAAATAAAATATATTTTAAGCACATAACCAAAACTCAAATGATAACTTACCCGAGATGACTTTCACATATCCAAGACTGACCATCCTCCAGTTGATGAGACTGTTTTAAACTCATAAGCTTCCGATTCTTGAAGGCCCCAACGAAAACTCTACCGATCCTTACAAAACCATTGTTGTTGTTCTTGTCGCGGTTTCTCTTTGGATATCTATAAGTTTTTCTCCCAAGAAAGAATATAGCAAGAGCCATAACCATGAACAAACAAGGGATCCCAAATCCAAACGCCCAGTTAACGTTGCTTTGAATATAAACCATCACAAGAATCGATATCGCTATTCCCCCGGATAAACACAAGAACCACCAGTTGAAAAACGATCCTCTAGCAATTCTTTCTTTTGGATGGTCCGAGTCAAACTGGTCCGCACCAAACGCTTGAACACACGGCTTGTGACCTCCTTGTGCTATGGCCACAAGATACAAGGAGCAGAAGAAAAGTACGTTCATCAAGAAAGAAGGTTTTTGCTCAGATGATCTCATAATGGTTAAGCAAGCCGACAAGGTCAGTAGTCCAAGCCCCTGTAATAATTAATTTCATCCGGTTTAATTATTTTTATTAAAAAAATTTTACTTGCTAATGCATTAATGAAATTTCACATTTAGTAATTAGAAAAAATAATGAATTAATGTAATAAAGATTACGATTTTATCACTGATTGGTTTTAAATTAGAAATTCATTGTATTAGAATTTAAAGAGGAGAAAGAAGAAGATAAGGTACCAACCAATATGTAGATGAGGGAAGAACCAAGAATTGTCCGGTAACGACCAAGATAAGCGTCTGCTACGAAAGCTCCTATAATAGGAAGCGTCGAGGCGGTTCCACTCCACGTGTTCACGTTCACGGCGGCGGTTGCCGTCGATTGTCCGAGCTGTTCGGTAAGGTAAGTGATCATATTGCATGCAATCCCAACGTAAGCAAATCTCTCTGCTACTTCCACACCTGATGAAACATTTATCTAGATTTAGCAAACAAGAAACATAAAACTAGTTAATCACAGTTTACCTATTATGAGACAGGCCGATCTCCATCCTCCGGTGGAAGATCTCACGGCGGGGTTTCCACGGTGGTCGACGGAGTCGTTAACTAAATCTTTTAGAAGTGAAACTTCTTCCTCTGGTATCGACATTACTCGATAAACAGAGATTAGGAACTATGCTAAAAACTTAAAACTCAGAACTGAATTTAAGCTTTAAGTAATTATGATAATTTTTCTTTTACTCGCAACTTTTTTTTTTTAGATGAGAAAGTGACGAGGTGTAGTCAGATAACTATAAATATATAGAGAGTAGATCCACCATTGTTACCATTAATTAGTAGTATGTCATATTGTTATAAAAATCACCATCATTCTTTGTATGAACCAGTTTTCCACGAGCTGTATTTTGGTCGTCTATATTATTGGGTTGATCCAAACCGAGTAACATGCAGTATTATGTTTATATTTTCTGTTTGACAGCAGTTTATATCATGGTTTTCTTGTTCGTTATTTTATTTCAATAGGTTAATTAGTCGTCAGTGTTATTTGATTAAATTCAAAACGAGTAACGTGCAGTGTTTATGTTAATATATCAGCTATTATTTGTTCATCATTCAAAAGTCAAGTATTAGAGGTTATGGAAATTCAAGACCAGTGGTAGACCCCATAGAAGAATGGAGGCGTAAAGCAACTACATATCTCATCTGTTTGGTGATCTGAGTTTAAATGTTCAAATTCAAATTTATGTACTATCTATATTATTTTCATAAATAAACTTTAATAAAAAAAACACATCGAGTCTTTCTTTTACAAAATGTGACATAAGGTAAAAATAAGTTTGATTAAGTTGACAGTGAAAATTTATTTAGTTTCTTATACTATAACTTTTGTTTTTGTCTACTTGTTTGTTTAATCGAACTTTTGTTATAGGTTTCTTTTTCTTTTCTGAGGAAAGTTAAAGGTAATATGAATTTTTGGTCAATAAAAAATCAAGGAAAATTTTCTCAAATAATCTTTTAAAAAATTTTTATCACAACTTTTGTTTCTGTCTATTTGTTTGTTTAATCGAACTTTTATTATAGGTTTCTTTTTCTTTTCTGAGGAAAGTTAAAGGTAATATGAATTTTTGGTCAACAGAAAATCAAGGAAAAATCTCTCAAATATTTAAAAAATTTTATCACAAAAAATAGACATCAAAAATAAAATGACCAAAATAATTTTTTTTTAATTTTAGTTTTTTTATTATTTAAATTTTAAAATTCTATCTCCAAAACATCACTCTTCAACTCTAAACAAAAAGATTTATGATTATTTAACTTAATGAGTATAAGTGTATCTTTTATTTTTGATAAAATATTTAAATTTATTTCGGTCATTTTTATTTTTAAAATCTATATTTATGACAAAACAAAATTTTAGGTGTATTTTAGGCAATTTCTCAAAAATTAAAGATAATTGTTTTGGGGTAAGTTGTTGTAGTTTGCACTAAAATAAATAATTTATGAAGCATGAGTATGTTTTAGATATAATCTACATATTTATTTCACAAAATACCATATATAGAAATCAATAAGAAAGCAAGAGATTATTCTGTTCACCAAAAAAAAAAAAGCAAGAGATTATTCCAGCCAATGCATTTTTTTCGTCTGAACGATAACCATGCTTTCTAGCGGATGCTATACAATGGACACGTGTAAATGTCATCAGTTCAAACTATATGTAGCTCTTAAAACCTAAAAATATGCGTAATTGCGGTATTGAATCCAATAAATGTATTAGGTCATTATCATTGTCAGAAAATCTAGTAGATTTATTTTCAAAAAAAAATCTAATAGATTTCTCACAACACATAATAATATTTAAAAATTCTTGTTCGTTGAAAATGAAGTGTAGAACAAAATTTTCAAAACAAGTTAGAATCTTTCAAACAACAGATTATTTTCTTCTTTCTTTGCTGTTTTTTTTTTCTATTTTCCTCTGTTATTTTTGTCATGAGAGAGTCACGAGAGAATTTTTTTTCAGTATATATGCTCTAACTAGTAATAGCAAAGATAGTTTTAATGTAATAGGTTTTTCATTAAGGAGTTTCTTACGAACCTAACACAGATAAAACATAGGAACATAGAATCTAAAAGTATTTGATACAAAAAAAAATCTAAAAGTGTTCTTATTCCTAGTATGAAAAAAGAAATTTTTTAAAAATATAGAAATATATATAGAGTTTTGAAAAGGTACTCATGCGATAATAAAATTAGATTTTAATCCGTGCACCCACACAAATATTTACTTTATCTTTTATATAATATATATTTATTATAAATTCACAGTATTATATTATTATTTTATATTAAATATTATTTTATTTTTCTTATAAGTATAATATAATATTTTATATATTATTTTTTCAAAATATATTGCTATATATTTTTAATGTCACTATTATATATCATATATGTATCATCATATAATTAATTGTATTTTATATATACCATCATATAAGTAATTATATAATTAATAGTATTTTATATATACCATCATATAAATAATCATATATATTATGTTTTTAAGCTTAATGTGAAATATAAAAACCATAGTTTAAAATGATGTTTGAAATTGGAATTTGTATTGTATACTTGTTATATATATATTTAAAATATTTTTATAATAGTTATTAGAAAATATTTTAGTAAAAATAAATATATGTATATTTTTGAATCAAATTTTGATATAAATCAATTTTATATTAATAGTTTAAAATATGTATAAATTTTGTTTTATGATTACTGTGAACAAAATGTGTTTTAGATAATTAGATTGGATGATTTTGTATATTTTAAAGCTAATCTAAATAGCAAATTTCTCATAATATAATGAACTTTCAAAAAAAAATTAATAACATAATTAAACCATGTCTTTAATATATTGCTAGCTATATTTTCAAACAAAGTTATATTTTTGTGCAAGGATTCTCTCTTAGCAAATTGCAACCATTGTTTATCTCGTTAACGACTAAAACTCAATCTTTTTTTTTTCACACTGAAGATCATATATTAAACCAACTTCAGTACATAAGTCTAGCGATGATGGACATATAAAACAACTGAATACGTTTCTCCAAAGTTTTCTTTTTTTTTGGTTCTTCATTTTAACATATTTGTTTGTAAACAAAACTTTAAGAATATATAAGATAAGCAATCAGCAGGTTTGCCCGAGTGGTTAAGGGGGAAGACTTAAGTTCTTCTGCACATAAGTGCGCGTGGGTTCGAAACCCACAGCCTGCATTCTCCGTTTTGGGATCTAAGCAGCATTTTAAATGGGCCACCAATCAGCCCATATCTGTAAAGACAATAATTTTGAGTTTGCCCTACAAAGATATAGTTTGCAGATGTTTTGTTCCAAGAGACAGACACACACTGAGGTTTCTTTCTTTCAAAGACTACAGCTGTTATTTTTTAAAGCATCTCTCAGTGAAATTTATTGAAAGTTACATTATGTAAATGAAAACAATAGAAACAACCTTATTTTAACAAAATTAATAACATGCAGAAGTAACTTGCGGTTTAACCTAGCAGTTTTGGCTAAAATACCATCAGTATTTCAAAATCAAGTCTAGGAAAAGAGCTACAAAGAAATTTCAGCCTCTAAAATTCTTTTTCAAGCATGAAATAATTTATGAGAAAATGCTTATTTAAAAGGGGTGATTTGTTCAATATACATAAGAAATGAAAAAACTAAGAATATAGCCATACTACAGAGGATGTGACAATTTGCACACAAACCTGACTGAATTCTCCTTTTAGTGCGTGCACGTAAAGTTGACGCTCAAAAACTAAAATTATCATACTATACTACATATCGTATAGTATAGTAAGATAATTTGTATTTACTTGTTACAAAGTTAGATTTCAGAGTATACTATACATGATTAGAACAGAGTATAGAATACTTAAGAAGGAGAGAGGGAGGGAGGGAAGAGAGGAAGAAAAATTGTAAAAAATGATATATACCTTTTAGATTTCAGACTATGCTCATGATTAGAACATAGTATGGAATACTTGAGAAGAAGGGAATGAATGAGGGAGTGAGGAAGGATGGGGGAGGGAGAGAGAGGGGATAAGTGGGGAGGAAAGAGAGGAGAGAATACTTGATTAGAACATAGTATGGAATACTTAAGAAGGAGGGAGGGAGAGAGGGAGCTAGGGAGAGAGGGAGGGAGGAAGGAAGAGGGGGGAGGGGGAAGGGAGGAAAAGAGGGTGAGTGGGAGGGAAGAGAGGAAGAAAAATTGTAAAAGTGATATACAACTTTTATTATTACCATGAATCTACACTATATTCTATTTGTTGCAACATTATAGAATTGAACTATTGACAAAAAACATTTTTTTCTCTAGTGCCAACCCAACATCTGATTTTGGGATGGTGATGAGTGACAACAATTATGAAAGAAAAGACAGTGGAGTTAGTGGAATAGTGAAGGAGAATAAGTAGAAGATAAAAAACAGACAATTTAGAATATACAATATGTTGTATTATTTACTGATTCTATTCTATTAAATTGATTCATATAATATAGGATTAACAATTAGAAGCCGAAACAATTACGCTACGGAACCCAATTTAATTGTGCTCACCATATTGTATTCCTATACTATTAACATGTTAGTAATAGTGAATACCATTCAACAAGATTGTCTACTACAAAAGAAAATATATAGCCTACTTAATATGTATTACACAGTATAATAATACAAAGTAGTAGCATATACATTATAGGAGATGTATTTGAACAGTCAAACTTACAAAACATGTATTACACAATACAATAATACAATACAAACACATAGAGTGTCATGTTTAAGTTCCATTGAAAGGAAATAGTATACCATGTACTCACGAAATTGGCAATCCAACACGCTATACTATGCAATGTAGTACATAGTATAGAGTTTAGGAAAATGGACAAAAGTCGACGGTTCATATCTACGCGCATGTTGAGGGTATAATGGAAAATAAATGGCATATTATATATCATAGCATAACCATTAGGTTACTATGGCTATTTACTCTTTTTTTTTCTGAGAAATGGTTATTGGCCCATATTACTCTATTTAAAATACTTGAAAAGTAAATTGTGTTTCATTAGTTTGGCTCCGGAGAATCTTTTGCATCTGTCGGCTTATGTATTCAGAGAAGATTATTTCTTCTGTTAATGGCTTATGTATCCGGGGGTTTAGATTAACTTGCCTTCTCTGTGTAATGAGTTGTGTAATCGGTTATGATCAATATACTCTTCTACTGTGAAAAAAAGTATGGTTCATTTCCTTACAAAGATGAGCTGCAATGTTTGTTAATTGACCACGTGAGGTGATGATAAGTGACAATCTTTGTTTTTTGTATTTCTTACACTTTA